AAATATTTTGTTTTTTAAAAAATGCCAATAACGTGGATTTTTTAAAAATATTTTTTAAAACTTGTCAATAAATTGGATTTTTTAAAAAAATATTTTTTTAAGAACTTGTCAATGACTTTGATTTTTTAAAAATAATTTTTTTAAAAAATTGGATTTTTTAAAATATTTTTTTAAAAAACTTGTCAAGAACGTAGGCTTTTAAAAATAATTTTTAAAACTTTGCTAAAAACTTGGATTTTTAAAGACAATAATGGAGAGCGAGAGATAGTAAAGGAGGTTTTAAATGAGAAAAAATATTTCGGAATTTATTTTCAAATCAATAAAATTTTAGAATATCCTGGCACTGAAACAATTTCCTAAAATGAGTTTACAATTTAAAAAAACATGGTTGTGTTAAGTTCAAATTAAAAAGTAAATAAATCCTAGAGAAATGAGCAAAAATCAAAAAAATAAATTAAATACTTAAAATTATTCAATAAATAAAAATATTAAAAAAAAAAACGTGAAAACTAAAAGAAAAATGACATCAATACAACTACGTTACTAAATCGACTAATCGATTCCAAACTCAACTCGAATCAATCAAAATCGACACAGGGTGTTTCGCAACAACAGCAGGAGCACAGGGCTCCTCAAAACCATAGCAAAACTATGTTGGAATGTAACCAGGTAATTTATTGTAGATTTGATAATAATTCTCTTAAAAAATTCTAAAAAAATACTTTCAATAATTTCTAATTATTTCAAACAACTTGAGTCAATTAAATTCCTTGGTAGACTAATTGTTTTAAATTTTTTTCTTCTCTGAATTAATATAACCTTGACATTTGGGGCTTTGCTCTCGTCATCGCCAAAGCTAAGGAATTTGCATTGCCGTTTGTAGTTTTGCAGTTTTTGCAAATAATTTCCATTTCTTGGAGAAATATTGTAATTGTCAATTTTTGTATGGCGCGTTATTGTTGTTGTCGTCTTGTTGCGAGTGTGTGTTGTTGCTGCCTTTTGTTTTCATGTCATAATCCAAATGCCAACCAACCACTCACCATAAAACTATTTCACTTGACGTCAGTTTGGGTAACCGCTTTTTTATTGTCTCCTCCTCATAATAAAATATTGTGAATTTTTCCCTTGGGGACACCCTCGCCCCACCGTTTTTCTACAAGTAACACACATATTATTTTATTATTGAAAATTACCTTCAGCAATTATGACATCTGCCAATGGTGTATTTGAAGGGATAAAAGGGCTTTTTTCTTAGAAGGGGGAAAGAGGGGCAAAAGTGCTGTTTTATTTATTTAATTTTATAATAGGGTGGATTGAAGGAAGGGGTTAATTTTTTGTCCAGGAAAAATTCACGAAATCCACGTCTTTGAAAAAAATTCTTTAAAAAAACTCTTCAAAAATCTTGTCCTAGAAAAATATTCATAAAAATCCTGTCCTGAAAAAATTCTTGACCTGGAAAAAGTTTTAAAAAATCTTGTCCTGGAAAAGTGTTATAAAAATCCAGGTCCTGGAAAAAAATTCTTTAAAAAATCCACGTCCGGGAAAAATTATTTAAAAATACCAAGTCTAGGAAAAATTATTTTAAAAAATCCACGGCCTTGAAGAAAATTCTTTAAAAATCCACGTCCTTGAAAATAATTCTTAAAAAATCTTGTTCTGTAAAAATTCTAAAAATCCAAGTCCTTAAAAGAACATCAAAAATATTGTCGTGGAAAAATGTTTTAAAACCCCACGTCCTGGAAAAAAAAATCTTAAAAAATATTGTCCTGGAGACATCTTTTTTTAAATCCAAGTCCTGGAAAATCTAAAAAAATAAAATTTTTAAAAAATCCACGTTCTGGAAAAATTCTTTAAAAAATCCAAGTCCTTGAAAAAAATTCCTTAAGAAATCCACGCCCGGGGAAAAATTATTTAAAAAATCCAAATCCGACAAAAATTATTTAAAAAATCCAAATCCTGGAAAAATTATTAAAAAAATTCCACGTCCTTAAAAGAACATCGAAAATATTGTCCTGGAAAAAGGTTTTAAAAAATTCACGGCCTTAAAAAAATTCTTGTCCTGGAAAATTTAAAAAAAATTGAAGTCCTTAAAAGAACATCAAAAATATTGTCCTGGAAAAATATTTTTAAAAATACACGTCCTGGAATAATTCCTTAAAAAATTTACATCCTGGAGAAATTGGTTTAGAAAATCCATGTCCTGGAATAATTCCTTAAAAAATTTACGTCCTGGAGAAATTGGTTTAGAAAATCCATGTCCTGGATTTTTTTTTAAATCCACTTTTTGTAGAAATTCTTTAAAATCTCCATGTCCTGGAAAAAATCTTTAAAAACTCCACGTCCTTAAAATAAAATCCTTAAAAAAATCTACGTCCTGGAAAAATTCTTTCAAAAATCTATGTCCTGGAAAAATCCTTTCAAAAATCTACGTCCTGGAAAAATTCTTCAAAAAATCCACATCCTGGATTTTTTTTTAAATCCACCTCCTTGAAAAATTCTTTATAAAATCCACATCCTGGAGTTTTTTTTTTAATCCACCTCCTGGAAAATTTCTTTAAAAAATTCAGGTTCTGGAAAAATTCTTTAAAAAATCCACGTCCTGGAAAATTTCTTTAAAAAAATTCAGGTTCTGGAAAAATTCTTTAAAAAATCCACGTCCTGGAAAATTTCTTTAAAAAAATTCAGGTTCTGGAAAAATTCTTTAAAAAATCCACGTCCTGGAAAATTTTTGTAAAAATATTCCACCTGGAATTTTTTTTTTAAAAATCCATGTTCTGGAAATTTAAAAAAATGTACATCCTGGAGAAATTCTTTAAAAAAATCCACGTTCTGAAAATTTAAAAAAAAATCCACGTCCTGGAGAAATTATTTAAAAAACCCACGTCCTGGAAATATTCTTTAAAAAACAAATATTTTGGATTTTTTTTAAATTCACGTCCTGGATTTTTTTTTTCAAATCTTCGTTCTGGAAAAATTGGTTTACAAAATCAATGTCCTGGAAATTACTTTAAAATATCCACGTCTTGTAAAAATTCTTTAAAAAATGCAGGTCCTGGAAAAAAACTTTAAATATCCACGTCCTGGAAAAATTCTTTAAAAAATATGCGCCCCGGAAAAAAAATCCACGTCCTGAAAAAATTCTTTAAAAAAAATACGACCTGGATTTTATTGAAAATCCACGTCCTGCAAAAATGTTGAAAAAATCCACGTCCTGAAAAAACTCTTTAAAAAATTTACGACCTGGATTTTATTCAAAATCCACGTCCTGCAAAAATGTTGAAAAAAATCCACGCCCTGGAAAAATTCTTTAAAAATTTGACGACCTGAATTTTATTCAATATCCACGTCCTAGAAAAATTCTTTAAACAATTTACGATTTGGATTTTTTATATATCCACGTCCTGCAAAAATTCTTTAAAAAATTTACGACCTGGAATTTTTGAAATATCCACGTCCTGGAAAAATTCTTTAAAAATCAACGTCTTGTAAAAGTTATTTAAAATATCAAAATTCTGTAAAAATACACCTCCTGGAATTTTTTTTAGAAATCCAAGTCTTTGAAAAAAAAAAAAAATTAAAAAATCCAAGTCCCAGCAAAAATCCTAAAAAAAATCAGGACCTGGAAAAATTGTGTAAAAATCAACCTCCTGAAAAGCCATGTGTTTGAAAAAAATCATAAAAAATTTTGTCCTGAAAAAAATTCTGAAAAAATCTTGTCTGGAAAATTCTTTAAAAAATCCATACTTAATATCAAATCTCGTCCGAAAAAAAACAAAATATGAAAAATCTCGTCCTTAAATTTAAGAATCTAAGTCCTTCAAAAAATTCTTTAAAATCCTTCATTTTTGAAAAATTTATTAAAAAATACATCCTTCAAGAACTCTTAAAAAAAATCCTAGAAAAAGTCTATGAAAATCCACGTATTTGATTTTTTTTAAAGAGTTCATGTCCTTAAAAATCCACGTCTTTGAAAAAATTAAAAAAAAAAAATCTTGTACCAAAAAAACTTCGAAAATACAAGTCCTTAACAAAAATTAAAAAAATTTTGTTCCATTTCTAGGGAAAGGAAAGGAAGCAAAACCAAAGTTTTATTTAATAACCATTACAATAGGGTGGATTGAAGGAAAGTACAATTTTTTCGGAATAACATTCAATTTCTAAAATAATTTAGAAAGCAACACTACAAGCTTTATGTTTAAAATCTATTTCAAAAAAGACATAGCATGATCGTGCTTTTTTAATTTTTTCCAGAATCTTAGAAATTCCGTTTTTTTTAAATATTTTTTGAAAGACCTAGAAATAACTTCTTGTGCCCTGGAAACTATTTTTTTATAAAAAAAGAATATTAAAAAAAAATTCAAATTTGAATTCCAAACGATTTTTTAGAAATATTTAGGATTGAGGGATCCAAATTTTTTGGAAATTATTTTTAAAAATAGTCTGAAAAAAATATTTAATTTTATTTCAAGGACCTAGCAATGACTCTGTGTCCTTTGGAATTTTTTTTTCTCTTGTTGGTCTCTTAAAAAAAATATTATTCCTCAACATTTTCGAACTAAATCTCTGACTCCTTAATCCAATTTCCTGTAACAAAATGTCATTTTCTCCTACTCGTCCTGAAATCCCTGGACATTTTCTCTTCGTCTCTTCCTCTTTTTTGAGATATTTTGACGAAAAGTAATTAGCAAAGGATTCTTAGGAATTTCGCTAAGAAGTTGTGGGCAGCTGCCATAGAAATCGCGAAATTCCGCACAAAACCTCTTCAAATCTCAGCAGGTAATAATTGGAGTGGCCCGAGCGAAAAGGATACCCACGAAAAGGATCAATATCTCATTAACAGCCTGCTTCTGGAAAATCAAGGGAAGGCAGGGGAAGGAAGAATTTTATGATGCCGTGCATTCGGCCTTAAATCCAACCAGACAGAATCGAAATCTGCTACCTGGTATCTTTGTGTGAGAGGATCCTTGTTATTTTTCCTATATAAGTTCGGCCGTGGCCTGAGCCAGGCATCAGTTACTTGTGTGAACGTCTAACGTAAACATTTCGTAAAAGATTTTCTGTTTTTGAAAAACTCGCCAAAATTTATCCCACCGTAGAACAAATTTTAGACATGGTTCTCAAGACACAATCGGCCAACAACAAGGATGAGACGTTGGAGTCAGGAGAATCGGCAGCCAATCATCTGGTTGTGAACACCACCGATTTTAAGGATCATGATTTCGATGATTTCGTAACACTCTCCGAGGCAATTGAACGCAATAATCGCCAGCGTAGATCCCAGCGACGGCCACGTCATCACACCATGGTGGCCACCATGACCCGGGAGGAGCTATTCGAGTGCACCAATGTCGATGATGATCAATTCCTGAATGCCCTGGAACATCAAAATGAGCTCGATGCGAGCATGAATAAAACTGTCCTGCTGCGAAGCATTGATAACCTAATGAAGTATTTCGATGAGGATGTCCAGGTGCCGGACAGTTCGGGTAAAAGTACCCCCGTGAAATTGCGGGCCAAAGGTAAGGTGGCCTCGGCAGTGGCCTCGTTTCGCAGCAAGGCTCAAAAGACCCCCTCCCCCATGGCCAAGAGGAAAAGTAAGCCCACAGCTGAGGTTGCCCTCTCCCACAACTCCAGCAGTGTGGTGGGAGAGTTAAAGAAACGCTATGAGCAGAGTCCAAAGCCGGAGGACAAGGAGAACTTTTCACCCAACAAAACATTGACTTTGAGTCCGAAAATGTTAAAACGTTCCAGGGTCAAACAAATGGCGGCTTTGATGTTGTCTCCTGAAGCTGGAGCAAAACCCAGCCAATCTCCCCTGAAATCGGCCACCATGAGCCCCAAAATGTTGCGAAAATCCAAGGTCAAACAAATGGCTTTGTTGTTTAACAACAAAATGAATTCGATTATGCGCAAGTGCCCCACTCCGAATCAGGAGGAGGTCAAACCCAAGGATGAGTTGGAAGAGGAACCCCAAACACCCACTGAACCCATATCGCCAGGCCTCTCCTCAATTGCCTCGCCAAATTTCACCTCAACCTTGGTGAAACCCAAGTCGCCGAAACTGAAACCCAAAATGCCCACCTTCATTGCCAAGCTACCCAGCCCTAGGGCCAGTCCATTGTTCAAGAGACGCCAGCTAAACAAGACCGCCAGCATTTCTTCCCTATCCCTCGCGGCAAGTCCCTCCAAGAAGAAGCCTTTGGAAAGGCAGCCCAGCACCACCTGCCTGGTGGCTGAGAGTGTTTTCCAACAGCTCTCCGTCAAGGATAAGGCCTTGCTCTACAACAAATTCATCGAAGATATGTCGAGGAAAAATCCGAAATTCTCCAAACATGGCCAGGTTTTGGAGAACAATGTCAAAAAGGAAATATCCCGCGGCGAAGTGGTGTGTGAGAGGCAGGGAACGGTTAAGCATTTGCGGGCCTCCCTTGAAGCTAAAATTACACCCACCAAGTCCTCCACACCCAATGCCCTGACCAAGACCCTGCAAAGATTCAAGAAATCTCCCGGCCTGGATTCAACACCCCCCAAGGCCAAGGCCAGGAAATTTGAAGATCTCAATGGACCTCAAACACCCGGCCACAATAACACCACCACCACATTTAGCCAAGAGGACGATGACACCGAAGATCCGCTACATGTCAGCACCCTTACCGTCATCCTCAAACCCAGTCCGGAGGCAAAAAAGTACGCCACCAAACCCCGAACGGCGCGAAAGAAACGCGATGTCCGTTTCCTCTCCGATTTGGGCGTCATTGGACCGCAAACGACTTTTAAAAGAACCCAGGAAATGATACGTTCCTCCGTCCTTGTGGAACCCTTTGCACCGCCCAAGAAAATCCGCCGCACCCAACACGAACGTCTGGCACCGAAAATGTTTTTTCAGAATCAACATTTGGAAAAGCTTTTCTATAACTGGCTAAAGGAGAAGAACGGGGTGGTCTTCGACATTACACCGGTGCACAATAAACGGGATGTCATTGAAATTGTGCCCAAGAACTCGAGGGATAATGTCATACCCAAGGATAAGGTGGATCAGCTGCTGGAGCAGGCCATTAATAAATTGGAGGCACAGGAGACTCGAGAGGAGAGCACAAAGGAGCAGAGTGCCATAGAGATTATCAAGGAGACGCTGGAGGAGAAGAGCTCCATTGATGTCTCGGTGATAGAGGTGGAGTTACCCATTGAGGAGCCGGAGCAGGACGGCCAAAAAGAAAAGGAGGACAAAACAGAAACCAAAAAAGAAAATCTCCCTCACGAAGACCTTTCCCAATCCCAAGAATCCCTGGACAGTGATTTGGGTGTGGCTAGTATAACCAAGGTAAGTTCCGGCTCTCAACCATTTCCAAAGAAAAATCTCCTAAACCTCCCCACCTCTCCCCAGACCTCTAGCGAAGATTCGAACACTGAAAAGGATTCACTCGACACACCGGTGGCCAGGGCGGAAACCCAAAAACCCCTGCGCAAGAAAAAATTAAGGCGTTCTCTGACCTGGAAAAAGGACTACTCCCTGGTTGATGTAAACCCCATTGCTTCCACGGACTCAGATTCCGATTGTCGTTCCCTCAGCAATAAATCCCTGACGGGTACCCTCTCCAAGTCGAAAAAATGCTCGGCCTATGTCAAAAAGTTACTCTTCAAGACCATTAATTCCTCGCTCAGCTCCGAGCAGGCCAGCCAGGCCAGTGTGGGAGCGGGCCAAGAACTTAGTGTCCTCGAACTGGATCGTTCACTGATGCGTCAAATCAATTCACCCTCGAAAATCAAGGATGCCTATACCCTGACCGTGATGTCCTCCCCCTCACCGCCCACCGAAAGTGAGTACGGTGACTCCGATTTGCCACGCTCACCATGCAAAGATATCTCCCGTTCGTGGCCCTCACTTTTGGAGGCAGGTTGCGAGGAGGCCGACAACTTCGGTCGCCAGCAATTGAAACACAAATCGGTGTCCACCGAATTTACGGATTTGGAGAAAAATAAATTGGAATTGGAACAGGATCGTCTGATGATGGATAGTTTTATAGATCAGGGTTTCGAGACGGGTTCCAATGAGATGGAATCACCCATACGTTTGCCCCGCAAGTCCATGTCCAGTGGGGAGTTGGAAAAACCCGAAGAGAATCCCAAGAATTTCTCCACACCCAACAAAGAGAATCCAATTCAGCGGATGTTTACCGCCAGCCAACAGGGCCAGGCCAACCAGAAGCACATGATCAGCCCCATTCCCCTGAACAGTCCTCATCATCTGAAACACCACACCATGCAGGTGATAAAAGAAGACTGCTCTCTGGAGGATTCCCAGGAGCTGGAGTACAGCAATAGCTCGGAATCCTATCACATGGCGGGTAGCTATTTTAATGGAGAGGTTAGCTATGCGGGACAGCGTAGCTACTCCTCATCGACCTCCCACCCCTCTCTGGGTGTTAGCCACAAGGTGGAGAGCTCCCAGTTCTGGATCTCCTTTGGCGATTTCACCACCGCCATGAATATCCACTTCTATGAGAGTGAGCGCCTGATGTTGCTCAGCAACATTTTCTCTCAGAAATGTGCCGAGAATCGGGACATGTCCTTTGGCATTGATTCGCAGAAATTCTCCGCCGAGTGTCCTCTCAGCCAAGAGGATATTCTCAAAAAGATACCACAAATGGAAAACTGTTCGCAATACTGGTTCTCCACGGGAGATGTCCTTCTCCCCTTTGCCGGGAAACCCATGACCCCTGCCAAGATTCAAGCCTTCTTTAGCTACATACGAGAATTCATGGTGGACAATCAAGGCCAGCTGCGATTCGGCATTGATTCCTATGAATTTTCCAATTTTCCCAACCTCACACCCACCAGCACCAATGCCACCTATAGCTGGCCCAGTGTCTCCTCCCCCCTCAAGACCAGTGATTTGGATCAATCCGATTTTGAGTCGGTAGAACTTGAGCAAAGCATTAGCTTTTCGGCGCTGGGCAATCAATCCGACACGGGGTCCATTAAAAGTGAAGAGTCACCCGATGCCTTGGAACAGCTATTCGAGGATGCCCGAAATTTGAATTTAAGTAAAACTCAAACCGACAAATTGGCCATGGCCTCAGAGCTAACCGTGCCCGAGATGCTCAAGACCCTGCATAATCAGCAAGAGAAACTTAAGTCCCTCGAAGAACGCATGCTCCATTGTGGCCCCCTCAACTCCAGTACCACCAGCAGTGGCAAAAATCTCGAACAATTTCGTGAATCTCCGGAATACATGCGGAAACTAAGAAGCATCATTGCAGCCATTGACAACATTGGCCGAGGCAACAACGGATTCAATGCCTGCTCCATTGAGCAACTGGAAAGTTTCATGTTTTTCTTGAGTCGCTATGCCGATCTCTGTCTGGCCAATTGCACGGCCCACATTGAAAAGATCTTGGATGTGGTCATGCATCAGCGTTCATTTCAGGCCTAAAAATTTCTCTTCGAAAAAAAAATTGCAGAATTTCAACTGTACCAACCCCCCTCAACCCTCCCCCGAAACAACATTCCTTCCAAAACATTTTAAAAATGACTCGACTACGGCCTTCCAAAAAGGCTAAGGTTTTTTTTTTTGCATAGCTTCGTTTTTAAGGTATTAATTTTAAGCGTATTTTTAGATAGATATGTAAGCCTACAAAAAAGATCTTCTAAAGATCATCCGGACCATGTTAGTGTATAAGTTGAAATTTGAAAAAAAAAATAAAGAAGAAGAAAATTTGCCGACTTCGGAAAAACAAACTTGGTTGTGTTTTTGAAATAAATTATTTGGGTGCCATTTTGGGGTGAAAAGGGATTTGATTAGAAAAATGAATAAAAAAAAATATTTTTTTAAATAAAAGTTTTAAAAAAATATTTTTTTTTTATGTTGAACATTCAAAAACGTTTAAAAAATATTTAAAAAATATTTTTTTTAATTATTTACTATTTTTTATTTATTGAAAAAAAAATCGAAAAAAAATTGATCAAAAAAATTAGGAAATAATTTCAGTTATATTTTTGGGAACATTAATTCACATATTTTTTGGATTTACAATATCTATAGAGGATGGGGAATATTTTTTCCTTTGACAATTTCCCCGAAAAATCAATTATTAAGGGAGATTTTGGCTCGTAGCGGAAACGTGTTAAATTAAGAGCAAAAAAAGCGTACACATAAAGTTCACTTCTGGTACATCTATTTCGAATGTAATTTTCTTAAAAACCATTAAACCTAGAGATATAGTTCACTCTGAGACTTATAGTGAAATTTTGTGTAGAATATTTGATCTTTTGACATCTTCTGCCTAAAACGAAATTTTGTACTACTTTCAGGCGTCAAATCGAAAAAATACCGTGGAGAAAGAGATAAATTTTTTTTAAATAATTTCAAATTTTTTTTTTTGTTTTTTTTTTTTTTTTTTTTGATATGCAATGAAAATAGAGATTTCTTTCGGTTGGTGACTTATAGTGAAATTTGATGGAGAATATATTTGTCTTTGACGTCATCTGTCTTAAATTATGCTTTGTTGGAGATTTTTGCACAAACTCACACAGGGTACGACTTTAACGCTGAAAAGCCTTAATAATTTCGGTTATTTTTTTGGGAACATTAATTCACATATTTTTTGTATTTACAATAACTATAGAGATTTCTTTCCGTTTGTGGCTTATAGTGAAATTTGATGGAGAACATATTTTCCTTTGACACTTTCCCCAAAAAATTAATTATTAAGGGAGATTTTGACTCGGAGCGGAAACGTGTTAAATTAAAAGCAAATAAACTTTATGTGTAATAAAGTTCTCTTGTAGTGAATCAAATGTAATTTTCTTAAAAACTATTAAACCTAGATATATAGTTTATTCTGAGATTTATCATGAAATTTTGTGTAGAATATTTCTTGTTTTAACACCTTTCGCCTAAAACGAAATTTTATGTTACTTTCAGGGGTCTACTCAAAAAAAGACCGGGAAAAATGATAAAATATTTTCAAGTTTTTTTATTTATTTATTTATTTTTTTTTAGTATGCAATGAAAATAGAGATTTTTTTCCGTTGGTGACTTATACTGAAATTTGATGGAGAACATATTTGTCTTTGATGTCATCCGTCTTAAATGATGATTTGTTGGAGATTTTTGCACAAACTCACACAGGGTACGACTTTAACGCTGAAAAGCCTTAATAATTTCGGTTATTTTTTGGGAACATTAATTCACATATTTTTTGGATTTGCAATTACTATAGAGATTTCTTTTCTTTGGTGACTTATAGTGAAATTTGATGGAGAACATATTTTCCTTTGACACTTTCCCCAAAAAAATAAGCATAAAAGGAGATTTTGCCTCGGAGTGGAAACGTGTTAAATTAACAGCAAAAAAGCCAATACATAAATTTCACTTGTAGTACATAAAATTCAAATGTAATTTTCATAGAAACTATTAAGCCTAGAGATATAGTTTATTCTGAGATTTATCATGAAATGTTGTGCAGAATATTTCCTCCTTTAACACCTTTCGCCTAAAACGAAATTTTAAGCTACTTTCATGCGTCTACTCGAAAAAAGACCGAGGAGAAAAGTGATAAAAAATTTAGGAAATATTTTCGAGTTTTTATTTTTTATTTTTTTTTTTTTGTATGCAATGAAAATACTGATTTCTTTCCGTTGGTGACTTATAGTAAAATTCGATGGAGAATATTTTTGTCTTTGATGACATCCCTCTTAAATTATGGTTTGTTGGAGATTTTTGCATTAACTCACTCACAGTACGACTTTAACGCTGAAAAGCCTTTTTAATACATATGAATATATAGGGGTTTTTAAACCCCATTTTCTATAGTTAATATTGAATACACAAATTTCATTTGTTCAGAGACACACAATGAAATTCGATCTAGAATAATTCTTCTTTTCACACTTTCCCCAAAAAATTAATTATTAAGGGAGATTTTGCCTCGGAGTGGAAACGTTTTAAATTAACAGCAAAAAAAGTCAACACAAAAATGTCTCCATGTAGTATTTAAATTTCAAATGTAATTTTCTTAAAAACTATTAAACCTAGAGGTATAGTTTATTCTGAGATATGTATTGAAATGTTGTGTAGAATATTTCCTCTTTTAATATCTGCTGCCTAAAATTAAATTTTATGTTACTTTCATGCGTCTATTCGCATAAATGCCGGGAGAAAGTGATAAAAAATTTAGGAAATATTTTTGAGTTTTTTTATTTATTTATTTAATTATTTTTTTTTTGTTTTTGTTGATATACAATGGAAATAGCGAATTCTTTTCTTTGGTGACTTATAGTGAAATTTGATGGAGAATATTTCTGTCTTTGACGACATCCCTCTTAAATTATGCTCTGTTCGAGATATTTGCATTACCTCACACACAGCACGTCTTTGACCCTGAAAATATGAATTTATAGGGTTTTTTTTTAAATCCCAAATATATTAATTTTTTCTATGTTATATATAAGGTTTACAAATTTCTTTTGATCAGAGACTCATCATGAAATTCGATCTAGAATATTTTTTCCATTGACACTTTCCCCAAAAAATTAAGTATTAAGTGAGATTTTGACTCAAATTCGAAACGTGTTAAATTAACAGCAAAAAAAGCCAATAGAAAGCTGTCACCTGTAGTACATAAATTTCAAAGGTAATTTTCTTATAAACTATTAAACCTAGAGATATAGTTTATTCTGAAATTTATCATGAAATTTTGTGTAGAATATTCCTTCTTTTGACATCTTCTGCCTAAAACGAAATTTTGTACTACTTTCAAGGCGTCTACTCGAAAAAAGGTCGGGAAAAAAGTTATAAAAAAATTAAGAAATATTTTCGAGTTTTTTTTATTTATTTATTTATTTTATTTTATTTTTTTTTTTTTTATATACAATGGAAATAGCGACTTCTTTTCTTTGGTGACTTATAGTGAAATTTGATGCAGAACATTTTTGCCTTTGACGTCATCAGTCTTAAATGATGGTTTGTTGGAGATATTTGCATAAACTCACATACAGTACGACTCTAAACCAGAAAAGGCTTTGCAATACATATGAATATATGTAACGAAATTTATGATATTTTTCTGGGGTAAATATTGAATATACAGATTTCATTTGTTCAGAGGCTCATAATGAAATTCGATCTGGAATATTTTTCCCTTTGACACCTTCCCCAAAAAATGAACTATAAAGGGAGATTTTGACTCGGATTGGAAACGTGTTAAATTAGCAGCAAAAAAAGCCAACACCAAAATTTTACTTGTAGTACCCACATTTCGAATGTAATTTTCTTAAAAACTATTAAACCCAGATATATAGTTTATTCTGAGATTTATAGTGAAATTTTGTGTAAAATATTTTATCTCCTGACATCTTCTGCCTGAAACAAAATTTTGTGCTACTTTCAGGCATCTACTCGAAAAAAGGTCGGGAAAAATGTTATAAAAAAATTAAGAAATATTTTCGAGATTTTTTTATTTTTTTTTTTTTTTTTTTGTGTTTGATATGCAATGGTAGTAGAGATTTCTTTTCTTTGGTGACTTATAGTGAAATTTGATGGAGAATATATTTGTTTTTGGCGTCATCCATCTAAAATGATGCCTTGTTAAAGATTTTTGCACAAACTCGACTTCCTGTGTGAATTTTTAAAAAATTGTCTAGGGACTCCCAATCTGAATTATTTTTTTCAACTTTTAACGTGGATTAAAAAAAAATTCCATGATCTTTCAAATAAGAAATTTTTATTGTATTTCCTATGGAGGTGCAAAGTGCGAATTTTAAGAAATTTTTTAAGGGCACTCAGTGTGGATTTTTAATAAATTTCCATCCTGAGGCTTCTTAATAAAATATCTAAGGTCTTTAAATAGGAATTTTAAGTGACTTTTCAAAGAACTCTACACGTGAACTCTTATCGAAATTTCTGAGGAACTTAGGAGGGCTTCCAAAGTTAATTTTCCATTGACTTAGGAAGTCGGTTTTATATGAATTTTCCAAGGACATGTATTTTTAATAAATATTTGGATTTTTCATAAATTTTCGAAAAATTTCCAAAAAAGATTTTTACTAAATTTTCTCTTTTTTTTTTTAATTTTTTTAAGGACTTCTAGCATGAGTTGGAAATCGTTTTTAGAAGGACTAAAAAGGAACACCTTCCATTCCGATTTTTATTAAATCTTTTGAGGATATGCAACCCGACTTTTATTGCATTTTTAGGGATTCTTAGTTGGATGTTTCTGTATTTTTAATTTTTTTTTTTTTTTTTTTCAAAATAATTTTTTTAACCTCCATCATAGTATGGAGGGTATATTAAGTTTGTAACACCTCGGAATATACATTTTAGATATATATTCTTGATAGCGATGTCCGTCCGTCTGTGGAAGTCACTCTAGCTTCCGAACGAAAAGAAGTAGGTTGTAAATGTTATCCAAGTTACAGACATTAAGGTCTTTAAAAAAAATTTTAATAAAATCCAATTTTATCCAGGGCGGATTTTCAATCACGGACCTTATTTTTCACAAGTTTTCTAAGGACTTTCAGTATGGATTTTATGAGGACTTCCACTGTGAATTTTTATGAAACTTCCTAAGGACCCTCAAAGTGATTTTTTTATAGGAGTTCTTAAAGGAATTTTGAATGCGGACCGTCCAAGTGACATTTTAATAATTTTCTAAGGACTTCCAAGACAAATGTTTTTCAATCTTCAAAGGATATACATGCTATATTTTTTTTTTTTTTTAATTATGTTTTTTTTTTAATTTTTTGAGGACTTTCAAGTTTTAATTTCCTTCAAAGAGAATTTTCCGAATTTTTATGGAATTTTCTTCTTAGGGTCACTTTAAAGGAATATTATAAGGACTTGAAATTTGTAGACAGACTGTGAAAGAAATTTTTTAAAAATTCTCTAAGGACTTCCAAGGCGGATTTTTAATTAATCTTCAAAGGATCTGCAACCCATATTTTATAGAACATTCCAAGGACATTCCACTTGGATTTTATGAGGATTTCTAATTTCATGGCATTTTCTAAGGACCCTTAAATTTAATTTTGTTCCCTAATTATTAAATGACTTCCCATGCGGAATTAAGTGGATATCTAAGGTCTCTAAAGATAGATTTTTAAAATATTTTCTAAGGATTTGTTTCGTCAATTTTTCCTAAGTTCCTAAGGACCTTCAAACTGAGTTTTTTCAAGGGACTTCCTTAAGGTACTGTCCAAGTGATTTTTTTTAAAAATTTTCTCAGGACTACCAAGGCGGATTTTTGATGAATCTTCAAAGGACAAGCAACCTATAATTTATTGAATATTTAAAGGATTTCCAAGATGAAAGAAAGATAATTTTCTAGATTTTTACGGAATTTTCTAAGAATCTTCAAAGTGAAGTTTCTTTTTAAGGACCATTTTAAAGGAATATTATAAGGACTTAAAAAGTGTAGGTTCTAAATTCAAAAGGACTTCCAAGATGATTTTGTTATGAATTTTTTACTAATTTCCTTCAAAGAGATTTTTCCGAATTTTTATGGAATTTTCAAAGTACTGTAGTGATTATTCAAAAATTTTCTAAGGACTTCCAAAGCGTGTTATTAAAGAATCTTCGAAGTACATCCGACCTATATTTTATTGAATTTTTCAAGAATCTTTCATGCGGATTTTATGAGGATTTCTAAGGTGAATTTTAATGGTATTGCCCAAGGACCTTTTAGGTGAATTTTGTCCTCTATTTTTAAGGACTTCCCAAGCGGATTTTAGGTAATTTTTGTAAGGTCTCTAAAGATAGATTTTTAAAATATTTTCTAAGGATATGCTACGTTAATTTTCCATACATTTTCCACCATTTCTAAGGAGGAATTTTATAAGGACCTTTACATTTAAGGGACTTCATTAAAGAATTTTGTAAGAGCTTGAAATGTAATGGCTCTAAATGCGAATCGTCCAAGAGATTTTTTAAGACTTTTCTAAGGACTTCCAAGAGGTATTCCTGATGAATCTTCAAAGGATCTCCAGCCTATATTTTATTAAAATTGACAATGACTTCCTATGCGGATCTTTATAAGGATTTCTAAGGTGAATTTTTCATGAAATTTTCCTAAGGACCTTTTAGGTGAATTTTGTCTCTAAATGAGGATCGTCCAAGTGATTTTTTAAGACTTTTCTAAGGACTTCCGAGGCATATTTTTAATGAATTTTCAAAGGAACTCCAACCTATTTTTTAGTGAATTTTTCAAGGACTTTCCATGCGTATTCTGTGAGGATTTCTAAAGTGGATTTTCATGGCATTTTCTAAGGACCTTTAAAGTGAACTTTGACCCCTTTTTTTCTAAAGTCTCCCAAGAACGAATTTTCAAATATTTTCTAAGGATTTCCTATGTCTGTCGATTTTCTAAGGATTCTGCGGAAGATTTAAATGCAAACTGCGATTTCTTAAATTGTCCCAATTTTCCTAGTAATTATCCTAATTTAAGGGAAACCTCTAATCTCCCCCCACCATAATCAATCTGATTTCCTTGAATGCTCCTAAGAGATCCTGAACAGCTGCAATATTGCTCAAATATTGCACATGCATGGGTTAACAGGTAGCCTTACTTGTGTAGCCCAAAAATAAAATGCTTGTCGCCCAAGTAACCCTTAACCCTCTGCGGCACAGGTAGTTATATTTTGTCCTGGCAGGATTTACCCACCATTTGTAAATCTTCGAATTAGAATTCGACCTGTCCTCTCGTGTGCGTGCGTCAAAAAAATCCTTTACCTAGTGAAATTTTTCGGATATTTATACTCCGGCCAGTTGGGCAAATCAGCATCAGTTCTAAACTGTAACGTCTAACGTTAACAAGGCTCTAAGCAAATTTGAAATCTAATTTTTGTCTAACAAAAGAAAACAATTCTCACCTCAAAATGATGACCTCGGAAGTTATTATCTCAGCTGTGCAAGAGCAGGAAAAATCATCACCTCTGCCCTCACGCAAGAAATATCCAGCACCTCAACGTCCCAGTATCCAGGAATTGAGGCAAAAATACGAACACCAACACTTTTCGAATGATATCACGAAGATCGTGAAACCCAAATCTCCAAAAATGAGAACCAAATCCATGGTTAAACAAATGGCCTCCATGTTTAATAATAAAATCTCTCAGATCATACGAAGAGATACGGAAATCATGGCCAAGGATGTGGTCACCATGAAAAAGGCAAATGAAAATGCGAATCAGCTCCCCAAACCCCTGCCCATGCCTCGTTTGCGCCACAACAAGGAAAAGGCCCCCGTGCCCAGTCCTCGCACCAAATCCAAGTCGAGATTGCAAAGGAAACCCAGTTGCTTTGTGGCCGAGGATCTATTCTCCCGACTCAGTGTCAAGGACAAGGCCTTGCTGTACACCCAATTTGTGGAGGATATGTCCAGGAAGAATCCCCGCTTTGGGCGCCATGCCGGACTAATTGAGGCCAGCATACAAAAAGAAGTGGCCCGCGGCGAAGTGGTCAATGAGAAACAGGAATCGGTCAAGCAGCTGCGCCAGCAACTGGAGGCCAGGTGTGCAGGAAGTGTTCAGCAACAAAGAGAAGAGAAAATGAAAATTAATTCCGCCACTGCAAGCGAACAACGTCCCAGCCGCAACTCTATCCCGAAATCCAAAGAATTTGAGGATCTCAAAGCCACAAATAAGTCGAGCTATCAAGGCCCCCGCCGCTCACGCTCCCTCTCACGCAGCAACATAGAGCAGCTGGTCTTTAAGGCCGCAAAACCAGAAGAACCTCTATCCTATGCCACACCCAAACAAATCCGGGCCAATCGTTCGGAGATACTCACCCCTCACTCCTGTCTGGCCAATCAGCAATTGGAGCAACTTTTCTACTCCTGGCTCAAGGAGAAACATGACCAGCGAGAAGAGGAGTCTCAACAATCCCAAATATCCGAAATGGATGAGGAAAAACAAAAATCGGCCATTGATAGGCTGCTGGAGGAGGCCATTGTCAAACTGGAAGATGTGGAGGAGAAACAAAAGAAAATGGCGCCCAAATTGAGGCCCAAGAAGCGACAAGCCCCCGCTGTGCCGCAAGCCGGAAGCAGTGACCCTAGCAGCTTAACTTCGTCGCTCTGCTCCTCGGCCAAGCCATCGGAGGCTGAGGAAAGTGAGTCGGGTGTTTCGAATTTGACCAAGGTAAGGAGACATTTAAAGGATTCTCAGCCAGGAAAATCCACTAATTTCCAGATTTCTCCTCTCCAGAACACCAGCGACGAAGAACAAAAAGCGGTTACACCCCAACCCTGCCTGAAGGAGCCTGAGAGGCCCATTAAACCTTTGCGCAAAAAGAAAATGCGCCGCTCGCTTAGCTGGAAAAAGGATCATTGTTTGGTGGAGACCAAGGCAATTTCCTCCACAGATTCCGAGACGGAAATGAAACCTGAGAGACCCAAAAAATCTACAGGAGCTGTGCGACCTCAGCCATTGAATCTGAGCAGTGTTGAATCTCCGCCCACAGATCCCAGTTTTGTGGAGTTGGACAAATCCCTGCTGAGGGTGGTGAACTCGCCACGCAAAATCAAGTCGGCCTATACCCTAACCGTATTTTCCCCTCCACCCTCCAACAATCAAAGTCTCAATGACTTGGACATGGGTGAGGGAAAACTGGCAGATCAACGTCTTGCGAATGATTTAAGTTTCGATCAAGGCTTTGAAACTGGATCCAATGACATGGACAGCCCTATCAAGCCACAGCGTAAACCCATACTCCTCAAACGTCAAACCTCCTTTGAGAGTTCCCAAAGGATACCGGAAAATCCTTCCGGCTTTTCCACGCCCATCAAAAGCCAGCAGACGGGAAACTTCAATCACAGCTCCCTGGGTCAGCAGCAGTTGTTCAGTCCCATTTCCGTGCCACTGAAAAATCGACGCCGCTCCATTTATGACAGCGAATCACGGCGCAGCTCCATTGCCATGCAGGTCATACGGGAGGATCACCCACTGGAACATCATGAAATGAAATTGCCAAGGAATCTCTGCAATACCGATGCCTTTTTTGCCAATGCCCCCACCCTCGACATGTCCACGGCCGAGATAACGGGAATCACCGCGGGCGCCAAGGCCTCCAGGTTTTGGATTAAATCCAGCGACTTCAATCTATCCTTTGATCTGCAAAAATCGGAAAAGGAACGTCTCAAGCTGCTCTATGAAATCTTCTCGCAGCGTAGCTGTGAGACCAAGGAAATGCATTTCGGCATTGATCAGCAACGTTTTGCGGTCCACCACTTGCCCAGAGCAGAGGCAAGCGTTGAAGAGGAAAAGGAACTGGAAAATATCTCACGTCTACCCCAGACCGAAGGAGTTTCCCAATATTGGTTCTCCACCGGAGATTTGGTCATACCCTTTAGTGGCAAAAAATTGGCTCCCACAAAAATCCAAAGGATTTTCGAGCTAATCAGGGCCACGGTGGAAGAAAATGGCCAGCTACGTTTCGGTGTGGATGATGTGGAGTTTTCCAATGTTCCCGAAAATTGGTCACAGTCACCGAAATTTTCCATGGAAAGTAACTACAGTATGCTGGTGGGTCTACAATCCGGCACCAGCAATGGTCTTGAGGGACGCAGTAAATATTCCTGGCCCAATACCAAACCAGTGCCGGTCAGTGACCTGGATCAATCCGAGGGCGAGGAGGAGGAACAGGAATCCTATTCCCCATTTTCCAATCAGGGAAAGCAATTTGATTTATCCTGTCTGGATAACGAGGATCTTGAGATGCCACGCAACAGCGAGGCAATGCTAATGTCCGAAGATTCTTTCTGTCTGGGCTATGAAAATGAGCCCCTGGATCAGCTATTCCAACACAACGCCCCCCAAGACAAACCCATCGAAAATTCCCTGGATGACACAAAACTCCCGGAAATCCTCAATACCCTACAGGATCATCAGCAAATGTTGAGCTCGGTACAGGAACGCATGTCAGGCAATCAAAATCCTCTGAATTTGTCTTGTGACTCATTGGAACGACTCAAGGGAACTCCCGAATATTTGGCCAAAATAAAATCGATTGTTTGCGATATTAGTCGCATTGGCAGTCGAAATGGCTTCAAGGATTGTCCCCTAGACGATTTGGAGAGATATATGTTCTTCCTAAGTCGTTATGCCGATATCTGCCTGAGTAGCTGCAGCAGTCAAATGGATAAAATTCTGGATGCTCTAATGGAGCATAGTCGGGCCATAGAGGTTTAGAATTTGTGATTTTTTAAACAAATTTTATTTTGTAAATAAAAAGGAACTTCTAAAGGTCCTTTAGGATAAGGAAAAAAATATTTTAGAAAATAAAAATAAAAAAAAAATTAAAAAAATATTTTTTTTAAAAGGATATTATTTCCAAAGGGAATTTTATAAATTATTTTATCAAACAAAAAAATAAAAAAAATGTTTTAAGTATTTAAAAAAATAAGTATTTTAAAAATTTTTTTTAAAAAATATTTGTTCAAGCATAATTTGGATTTTTAAGAAAAATTTAGGAAAAATATTTTAGGTAAATAAAAAGGAACTTCTAAAGGACCTTTAAGATTTTAGGAAATGAAAAATTAAAAACACATACTTTTTATAAAAAGGGAGGGAATACAGAGGGAATTTTTAGATATCTTATCAAGGACTAAATAAGTAACTTGGATTTTTTAAAGAGTTAAAAAATATTTATTTTTTCAAGGATTTTTAAGATAAATACTTAGGTAAAATATTTTAGAAAATAAAAAGGATCTTTTAAAGGTCCTTTAAAATTAGGAAAAAATATTTTAGAAAATAAAAAAAAAAGTTAAAAGGATTTTTTTTCAAAAGGTATTTTTTAATTATTTTATCAAGGACCAAATAGCAATTTGGATTATTAAAAAAATATTTTTTAAGGCTTTAAGACAAAAATATATTTTTTGTTTTGAAAAATATTTAGGAAAAATTTTCAGGTAAATAAAAAAACTCATAAAGGTCCTTTAGGTTTAAAAAAAATATTTTGGGAAATAAAAAAATTTTAAAAAAAATATGTTTCCAAGAAGGACATTTTTATATATAATAAATATCAAAAGGAACTTCTAAAGATCCTTTAGGATTAGGGAAAAAATATCATAGGAAATAAAAATATGTAAATAATATTTTTTTCAAGAGGAATATTTTTTCACAGATGTGATTTTTTAAATTATTTTATCAAGGACTGAAGCAATTTTTAAAAAAATATATTTTTTTGAAGGATTTAAAAAAATAAAATTTATAAAAAAATATTTGTTTAAGGATAACTTGGGTTTGTAAGAAAAATATTTAGGAAAACATTGTAAGTAAATAAAAAGGAACTTCTAAAGGGTCCTTTAGGATTAGGAAAATAATAATTATGAAAAATATTGTTTCAAAAATATTGTTTTGGATCATTTAAAACAAAATATTTTTTAAGGCGTTTAAAAAATTAAAATTTTTTTTTAAAATATTTTTTCACGAATAGCAACGTGGATTTTTAAACAGAATAATATTTATTCAAGGATAACGTGGATTTTTAATGAAAATTTTTGTTCAAGGATAAGATGGACTTTAAAAAAATTATTCAATAATAACAAAATGGATTTTTTAACAAAATAATATTTGTTCAAAGATAACATGTATTTTTAAACAAAAAAATGTTCAAGGATAATAACTTGGATTTTCAACAAAACAATTATTCAAGGATAACAACGTGGATTTTTAAACAAAAAATATTTCTTCAAGGATTTTTTTTTGTGATTTAAAAAAAATATTTGGTCAAGGATAACGTGTATTTTTAAACAAAAAAAAATGTTCAAGGATAATAACTTGGGTTGTCAACAAAACAATTGTTCAAGAATAACAACGTGGATTTGTAAACACAAAATATATCTTCAAGGATTTTTTTGATTTAAAACGAAAATTTTCAAGGATAAAGTGTATTTTTCAAGGATAATAACTTAGGGTTTCAACAGATTTTCTAAGATTCATTTTTTTAATTGAAAATAGTTTTTAAAAAATATTTTTTCAAAGATTTTCTAAGATTTATTTCTTTAATATTTTTAATTTAAAATATTTTTTCAAGGATAACGTGGGATTGTTAGATTTTCCAAGATTTATTTTTTTTAATTTAAAATATTTTTTAAAAGACATTTTTTCAAAGATAATATTTTAAGATTTTCCGAAATTATTTATAAGTGCGGTTGTAAGATTTAGAAGATTTTCCAAAAGAATTTTAGTTTTATGTAATTCTTTTGTTCCTCTTCTATTGAGCTTACGATCTCGTCACTTGGGTAAAAAAATGTTTTTTGTCATAGAAGTTATTTTTTAAAATAACTTCTGGGGAGAATATCCCAGACAAGAAACAAGGGAACTGATGAGGATTGGTGGCTCTTTCCGAAACCTAGGTATTCCCTGCCTTACCCCCTGGTAAACATTACCATCGTTCTCCACTAATAAACAAACGTTGTTTTTATAAAAACAACAATAATGGGATTTTGTCTGACGATTTTGCAACAACAATATTCTTAATTAATTTATTTATTTATTTATTTTTTTTTTTTTTTGAAAAATACCCTTCTAAGGATAGCGTAGTGTTTTTTAGATTTTTTTAGATTTTATACGACTTATTTTTTTTTTTTTTTTTTTTGATATTTTTAAAAGTGAGATCAAGGATAACGTTTTAAGATTTTCTAAGATTATTTTATAATTTTCAAAATATTTTTTTCAAGGATAACGAATGATTTTTAGATTTTCTAATTTCTTCTTAATATTTTAGATTAAAAATATTTTTTTTAATGCTCTTAATTTATTTATTTATTATTTTTTTTTAAATAGCTATTCAATGATAGCGTAGGTTTTTTAAATTTATTTTATTGATATTAAAAAAAAAAATATTTTAAAAGTGGGATCAACGATAAAGGATAACGTTTTAAAATTTTCTAAGATTATTTTTTTAATATTTTTAATTTAAAATATTTTTTTCAAGAATAACGAATGATTTTTAGATTTTCTAATTTCCGTTTAATATTTTTGATTTTAAATATTTTTTTAAAAATATTTTTTTAATATTCCTAATTTAATTTTTTATCCTTTTTTTAAGACTTATTTTATTCATATTTTAAAAAAAAATAAAAAGTGGGATTGTTAGACTTTCTAAGATTTACCTTTTTTAAATATTTTTAATTTAAAATATTTTTTTTATATTTTTTAATTTGTTAGATTTTTTAAGACTTATTTTTAATATTTTTGATTTAATATTTAATATTTTCTCAGGGACTAAAAAAATGTTCGCCACCAATGGGGAATTTTTAGCATCCATATTTTATTCATAAATCTTACAGCTATGATTTTAATTTGTTCTGAAGCCCCTAATGGAATTAAAAGTAGAACATTTCTTCCCCTTAGTTCAGCTACCTCAATTTAAGTATTGGGGCAGAAATTCGTCCAAATTCAAATAATATACAAAGTACCCCATAATAATGGCAATTAAATAATTTCGTATAGCCACATTTGCAATGAGTGTAGTTCGCATAGTATTAGCTTTAGAGATATATTTTGTTTGAAGACCCCTAATAAAATTCGATGAAGAATATTTTTCTTCATTATGTCTTATCTCTAAAATTAAGTTTTGTGGAAGAAATTGACAAATAATGAAAAAAGTTCAAAAAATGTCCACAAAAACACTATATTTGTATATGCCCAAATTTGTGCCGATAACGCATGGTAAAATATTAAAGATATAATTTTCGTTTGTTTGAAAACCCACAGTCAAATTCGATGTAGAACATCTTTTCTCCTTACAGGATGACTCTATAGTGAAAACCCTGGGTGGAAATTGGTGAATATTTGAAAATGTAAAAAAAATCCAAAAAATCACTACGTTTTTATATTTATATGTATTCGAATTAGCGCTGCTTTTCTATCGAAAACTACTACAGTTACAGGTTTCATTTTTTCAATGACCCCTAATGGAATTTGATGTAGAATATTTTCTTCCTTTAGGCCATGCCTCCAAAGTGAGGCACAGGGGGAGAAATTAGTATGTATTTGGAATAATTAAAAAAATGGAAAAAAAAAATTAATATATATCCAAATTGGTTCCGATTTTTTTTGGATAAATGTTATATTCACAGATTTCATTTGTTCAGTGACCCCTTGGGGAATTCCATGTATAATATTTTTCCTATTTACATGATATTTCTAACATGAAGTTCTGGGGGAGAAATTGACCAAAATCCCTAACAATTGAAAATCCCCATAAAAATATTTTTTATGAATTCATGAAATTTGCGGCTTCCATTTTTGGGTAAATATTATTCCTGCAGTTTTAATGTATTCTAGGGCGTAACTTAAAATTTAATGGCGAACATTTTGTTCTTTAATAGCATCCCTATTAAAAAATGCCTAATTGGGGTAATGACCGATTTATTGGCACTTTCGCAAATAAGACACCAGAAACGCTATTTAAGATCTTCTTAAAAAGGACCAAAAAGACCCATACCGTGAGGAGTTAGGAGGTTAATATATTTTACAAAAATATTTCTTATAGGGTTCTAAGAAAATTTCTAGAACACAGCCTTCACCTGTATTGCAAGGATCAAGCAGAAACTTAAGGATAACAAAAGTACCCTAAAAATATATAAAAATTTTCCTTAACTATTTTTTGTGACAGATTGAAGTTTGAGGTCCGTATTTTTAAATAAATATTATATTAACAGTTCTAAGTTGGTCTAGGGCCTATGGTAAAATTTAATGGCGAACATTTTGCTCTTTGGTTGCATCCCTCTAAAATTATATCTAGTGGGGTAATGGTCTACTTCTTTCAAATATCACAAATAAGATATCGAAAGTGGCGATTTACGATTTTTCAAAGAGGGACCAAAAATACCCATTTAATGAGGAGTTAGAGGGTTAATATATTTTTGAAAAATGTTGCTTGTAGGGTTCTAAGAAAATTTCTTAAAGGAAGCCAAGACCTATAATGTGAGGATCAAGGAGAAACTTAAGGATAATAAAAGGACCGTAAAAATACATAAAAAATCCATAACTATATTTCTCTGACAGATTGAATTTTGAGGTCCGTATTTTTAAATAAATATTATAATTACAGTTCTAAGTTGGTCTAGGGCCTATGGTAAAATTTAATGGCGAACATTTTGTTCATTGTGATCATCCCTCTAAAATGATATCTAGTGGGGTAATGGTCTACTTCTTTCAAATATCACAAATAAGTCATCAAAAGTGGCGATTTACGTTTTTTTAAAGAGGGACCAAAAAGACCCATTCAATGAGGTGTTAGAGGGTTAATATATTTTAGAAAAATGTTGCTTGTAGGGTTGTAAGAAAATTTCTTGA